TATTGTGTTAGGTGGGGTGGGAGGGCGGGGGGGGGTGCCGGCTTTCGAACCGTTTCTGCAACTCCGGTGGATCGGGCAAACGTGATTATTTTTTGCAATTTGCTAAGCAGATGCTCCCATTGTATCGCGTCGAGTTTGTTTCGCGCTCGAGCCTTCATTCTCCTTTCTCTCTTTTCCTCTACTCTTCTTTGACTTCTCGCCCCTCCTGGAAGCAATTCGCATGTATCACGAGATCCTGGGCGCACACAAGCGCCCGGAGGCTGCATGTTTTAACAGACTTGCCGTCGCCGCATTGTCTCCTCTCGTGAGGATCCACGAGCAGGAAATAATGATCATCCTTGCGCCCTTCTTTCTCGGGATGGCAGAAGGCAACCAATGGGAGTATGGCATTTCTTGCGTCTCTCATATCGCCAATATGTACACAAGTTATGAACAGATCATCCGGAGACTCGACCTATCTTCGCATGTGATTGAAACTTCGGCACTGTCGTGTTCGGATTCTTAATAATGTAATAATCCAATAATACTCATCGTCATTGTTCTGGGACTGACGGAATATTCAACGTCAGTTTTGTGCCCCTCGACTCCGTGTCGGAGGATATTAAGCGATTCCAAATCGAGCAAAGAGGAATAACGATGGTCAAACTAATTGGACGTTCTAGCGTCATCCAGTGATCGGTGAAAGGTCTTCAGAGGGATCAATGTTGTCTTTCTCGCAACTTCCAAGCGCGTGACTGCTGCTTAGAAAAACGTGTTCATTAACTATACTAGATAATACAGTCTTGAAGATCTTGCCATAAGGATTACTGGCACTTTGTTCGAAGGGTAAAAAGGAAAATGCACGCGTGCGCGCGCGCGCGAGAGAGAGAGAGAGAGAGAGAGAGAGAGAGAGAGAGAGAGAGAGAGAGAGGGAGAGAGGGAGAGAGGGAGAGAGGGAGAGAGGGAGAGGGAGAGGGAGAGGGAGATGAAGAGAGGGAGAGAGGGCGAGAGAGAGAGAGAGAGAGAGAGAGAGAGAGAGAGAGAGAGAGAGAGAGAGAGAGAGAGAGAGAAAGCAGATGACGCGAAGATCCTTGACTTCTGATTGGCTGAAATGCCTCGTGAACGTTTTACAGAAGCACGTGGCGCATTACCGAATCATGCACCGTTGACTGGCAAGCCAGCCCCCCACCCCCCTTGCATTTACGTTGCGTTTACGTTACATTTCCGGTGTGAGGGGCACCAAAGCCAAAGAGTTTTCGGGCGACTGGTCTCGAGGAGGTAAAAATACTACTAGCCGTCATGGCTCGCGGTGCAGCATGCATTACCATGCTAATGATGCTGCCAGCAACCACGCTTCTCGCATGAGCAACGTCGGCGCAACGCCGCGGCAAAGCAGCCAACGACTAGTCAGCGGTTCCTCATCCGCAAGACACTTTTTCCGCCAGGAAGAGAAATTTATCCTGATGCACTTCGATGAATGGACGGAAGAGGGAACCTCGACCATGCTGCTTGCATCCACAAGGAGCTATGGCTCCTTTCCTGTGATGTCTCCATCTCACTAAGCATCTCCCCCTCTCTCTCTCTCTTTTATTCACTCTTTCGAGAACTCTCGACAGCCCACAGTGACTTTTAGCTTAGCGGCTGAGAAAGTGCGCAGGCCCGACGAATGGCCCACGTGTCCTGGGCCCTGGCTCGGGTTTGTCAGTTGATGACATTTAAGGTGACGATGGCCCGAACACGGGATTAACGCAGATTCGTCTCTTTCCGTGGTGTTGCTGCGTAAGCATGCTGATTGCTGCATCGGACCCTGGAGTCAGGCTGTCCATGAGGTTTACAATGGCTTTTAACGTGAACCTCTTTGATCACATCCGGCGGCCACTTACGAGACCAGTGCCCGGCGCCGGCAACATGCAATTCTACCCTTATCTTTAGAATTCTGAAAACTCGAAAATCTTTCAGATAGACATGGAGGTACGTGCGGAACGTCCCAGAACGGCGGGGCGCATTGGGCCGACTGGTCGCGTCACACCGACGATCCACCAGCAGCAGACCAGTCACCAGGGAGGGAGGCGAAAGGCGATTCCCGTCCCACCACCGAGGGTGCCGACCCCAATGCCGCTGGTCAACAATAATCAGCAAAGGTCAGCAAGCTATATCCGGATTTACCAGCGAATCTTATTCGCCAGATAACTAGTTGTACCTGCAGCCCTCTACTCTCCTGGTCCATCTACGGATTTTATTGTGCCTTTCAGCCAAGTGGCACCCTGTACATGCCATACATACACGTGTATGTCTGCTGTGACGATGTACCAGATATTTAGTTACGTTCCGATTGACAAAGCAACAAGTTCGTGTCGACTTTTACGGAAGTCGCGTAAAGTCCGCCGGATCAGTTTACACGACTAGACTTCGACACATCCTTCTCTCTATTCTTCTATCCGCATTGTCGAGATATCGTTATCCGTTAACTGGCAAACCTCGAGTCTGATTGGGTTAGGCTAGGACTTGACTCCAGTCTAAAGCTGGCACCTCGTAATATCGCGAAGTCACAACGAGCTCAACGTCGTCCTGACCATGCCGTCGTTATGCTCGCATTCATTTCCCTAGATTCCTCGCTTTGGGAAGACGAGCGAGATTGACGATGCCGTTATTACCCGAAGATTAATCAGATACAATGGAGTGAAAAATTGACAATAGTTAAGATTCTTTTTTGCCCTTTTCTTTTGAATATCATTTATTAAAAGATTCAATAACTTATTGACCTCCTACTAGATAGTTTATCGGTATAGGAATAATCAATAGTTTGCTTCATCTCGAGCACTATTTCCTGAAATACGATCACCCGATGTTGCATTAAATAGATATAGATACACAGAGACAACTATACATCTATACAGGCAGACATCTACGTTGGAGAGTCCTCTCGATCTGAATTTTTTTAACGAGCACTCCGCGTGCATTAATTAATACCAGGACTACCGGTAGGAAATCTGGGCTCGCTCGCCAATGCAAATTTTTTCTCCTCTCGCTTATGTCGCGCACTCGTCTACGTCATTTCTACGAACGCGAGTTGCCTTATAGCGAACCCACTCCAGAACCAACTACGTTTCCGCACACGTTCCCTCTACTCCTAACTAATCCGGAAGTGGAGGGTTCGCTGCGCTCTACCTAGGAGCTCTACCTACGTCCCAGCCACGTCTGTAGCTGTGCGACCTACCGAATGCCCCCTTGCATCGGGCGTTCAGTTAGAAAAGCCTGCTTCGCCTCTATTATTTCGCCTGCAGGCAGCAACCGCGCTGACCTGCGAGACCGTTTTCGTCTTTGAGGTTCCTGCCCTTTTCGTCCAAGTTGGAATATTTTTTATTTTTTATTTTTTATTTTCGATCAATTTCATTGGCAGGACTGATTCCTCTGTTATGTCTATGTGTATTATTATAGGATTCAGCAAGCCTCGATCATGGCCACGAGACGTGACAGGCCGAAATTTTAATGATTTAGGTCGACCATATCCTTTGTCAGGATGAGCACAAAGGTAAAGATTCATTAGGAGTTAGCGCAAAGCCAAAATTCCAGCCACAATGCAAATATACGCACAGCAACGGCGCGCGTGTAAAGCAGAGTCGGATCCTTTGTATCAAAGAGCCGCCCGCCCGCCCGCATACGTTCATTAGGCAGTATTTAGCTACTGGCTGCCAGCTGGGAACGAGACTCTCGATGCCGCCGACGGCCTCGACGCTCCCGACGCTCCCGACGCTCCCGACGCTCCCGACGCTCCCGACGCAACTGACACTCTCAAAATTGTATCTTTATCGCGCGTGTAAGCAACAGTTTAAAAAGGCTTTACGAAATTTCCAAAATTTCAACCAATTATCCCTTCACGTGGCTAATCATTGTAATCGGTACAAAAGCAATATAGGAAATATGAAGCTGGGTTTAACTCACAATCAGTGATTCAACTTGACAGTATTCTGGAGATGGCGTCGCGACGCAAGCATCCTCTGTGTAAAATGTCCATTATTTTTTTTTCAAGCGTGAATAACCAGTAAATTCTTTTCCATTTAATAAATTCTATAAACCATATTTAGTGTTAGCGATGGCTGGATTTCTGCAGAGTCAGAATCAAAAGTAGATCTCTATGGAATATTAATATGTACGTATGTATGTATGTACATAGGTAAGCATTCGTATGGACCAGAAAAATTGGTAAAAAGCAGGAAATGATACCTTCGGGAGGTCACACATAGCGCAAAACGTCAGAGCAGCTGATATATCCCTTCTGTTAGAAGGAGAACGCGCGTTGTGGTTAAGAACGGAAGGAGCTGGAAGGGACGATAGGGTGCGAGAAAGAGTGATGCCCAAGGGTGAAGAAGGAAGAGCGAGGGAGACGATAGCAATGGAATAGGGAACGCGGGAGGGGAAAATGGGACGATGGGACGGTGGGAAGGCGGGAAGGCGGGAGAGAACTAGTGTTGGAACCACGCGATTTAATGAGCCGGATTTCACAGGATTGACGTCGAATGCTGCTGCTTTTCCCATGGGAGTTCAGCGATGTATGAGCCAATCGAAACCCGTGGAAACTGGGGTCAAAAGGCCGCGGAAATTTCGGACAAAGCCGTCATTGTGCGAGGCGAAGGGATACGCGACTGCGTTGTGTCATCCTATTTCAACCTTTTCCTCCCATCTCCACCTCCTTCCTTCTTCCTTTTCCCCACCTTTCCTCTTATTCATTATTTTTACCGTTCTCGTTGTTGCGTAATCACCCTACCTAACCTCACGACATTTTGATTCACGTGTCAATTATTTGCTCGTTCATTCAGTATCCTCATTCAAGCAATTCTTTCGTATTTCGTGAGCTTATTACCTGGAAGTTTATTTCATCGCCCGACGATTTCTGGCATAATCAACCGTTCAGCTACAGGGGTACGTTCAGGTCGTTCGCCTGCGCAACTTTATTCCTTTTTCTAACCTAACCATACGACATAGTTGATACAGAAAGGAAAGTCATCCGAACGGTCACTTCGAACGTACTTATTTCAGGTTGTCCGAGAGGCAAGAACTATTGCCTATAAAATTTCACATGGTTCGGCATCTGCGCTCTTACGACGATCGCACGGCGTCCTGTCACGATTAATCATGAATTCATAATCGATGCCGTTTTACACTTACTCCGAAGACATTGTGCTATAGAGAAAAACGAAAAACCTTCAACAAGCGACTTAGGGACGGGTGTGTCAGCGTATGTCACTATTCTTGCACCACAGTTATGCAAAACAACTACTTACGGGAGTGGAAGCCGCGACGAAAATCAATCAGTCAAAAAGGATCAATGAGCTCTATTTTACCGGCACAGAATCTTTACCTCGAAGCAAAAACTCCTAGGTCCATCTGGTGGCGGATGAATGTACTATAAGCACGTGAGGACGCTGGTGGTTCGCGATGCCACCGTCTGCTGGCGCCAGTCTCACTCAATGGGGTTGCTCGTCGGCAGTCACGAACAGTCACGAACACCAACGAACTCGAAGAAGCTTCGACAAATTTACACTTCCATAAACTAATCGTAAATTCAACCAGTGCCCTTCCATCCTAGGTGCATCTGTAATCTGTTTTATCTCGTTTGAACTTTTATTCTATTCCGGGATTCCGTGGAGGCTCTGGTGGGAAATCGTCAAATATAACGACTTCATTAAGCGCTCCCATGGAGGTATGGTTTAAGCAACAGTATCGAATATTTGGCTTGACTCTGTTAAATTCGTTTGAAAATCGGCAAAACGTTTGGACGCCAGTTAAGTGTCTGTTACGTGGACTGCGAGTTTCTTCAATGAATGAATATAGTGCACTGCTTCTAGTGCGATACACGGACAATCAGAATAGTCGCCTTAGGCTTTCCGTTAACGCCTGGAGTTTTGCGAATAGACATTCATCGAATAGACAACTTGAACATTCTTCCGGCCGTCCTCGACGTATATCCGAAATCTTTAAGTTACTCGATACGACTGAGGATTCTTTCATCCCAGACGAAGCAATAACCGAGCTCCCGCGTGAAACGCTTTATCGAGCGTACGTCGCGAAGTGAGTATCCTGTTAATGCCCCCTCCCTCCCTCCCTCCCTCCTTCCTCCTTCCAGCATCCATTGTGCCATTCTGTCGTTTCAGAGGCTCAGGAGTCAAGCGGTTTCGTGAAACATCGGAGGGAATCTTTGACCGAACGAACCACAGTTCTTGCTCGCTTTGGACCTGCTGCCAGTCGAGCGTCCAATTCTTCGACAGACGGCAGGAGATTCTCACTGACAATCAGGTGCAACCTACGTGCGCTTTGCCAACCTTAGTAATTAATTTAAAAAACAAAGGCTATGTGTGGATAAATTTGGAGGAGCGTCCGAAACATGTGTCAAGGAGAAGAAAGGAGCCTCAAATTAAATGACGGATAACGCCGGCACTGGCACAATCATTATCGGGTAGGATGCTTGTTAAAATGGAAAACAATTATTTATATCAATGCTTATATTTCGTAACGATGTTAATTATTAGATGACTCGATGGCGCACCGGTATCACTCGTAATCTCCCTCATCTCCAGTGCCGCTTTCAAGTCCGCCGCTTCCCCGCTTCTCCTTTTCTTTTTTCTTCCTTCTTCCATTTATCATTGCTCGTCGCGATGCGCTGCTCATTGCTTAGCTTTGATTGCACATGATCATTCCTATTTTCCTCATTATCTCATTATATTTTGCTGCTCGTTAACTGCGCGCCATCGTGTGTTTAGTCTTTCTCCCGTCGTCGCTGTGCGGCGCCCCACTAGCAAAGTGCATACATGCTGCTTCGGAGTCGTGCTCCCAGCACACTTGCGCTCTGGATCATCTAGACTTCTAGACCAATCGTCAGTCAGCTGGATCACAAAGTCTCACAATGGCAAGAACTCTGGCTGCTTTGCCGAGGGACAATTGACGCGATAGGTAATTCCAGTCTCCCTGGTACCTTTGGAACTTTGTGTTTTTTTGTCAATCAACTTCCGACTTTCACCGACAGAGAAACGTAGAACTCAGTAAAAATTGCAAATAACAATATTTACCGTGTGCACTGTAAAATTTACTTGTTGCTACTCAAAATATCGTGTCTTATAACTTAAAAGCAATAATTAATGAAATG